TTCAGTTCATTTGATTGGAATGAAAATTTTTTTTTAATTGAATTGTCTCTTTGCCATACGTATTGCAGTATGTACTGGTTTTAAATCACAGCTTGAAAACATTTTCTTCGAGTCCTGCTCACAAAATAGCCACAACAATCTTTTTTTTAAAACAAATGCCTGCACCGCACCATCTTCAAAAGCAGAGACACTGCATTCTGTGCCTTCGTTTGATGAAAACCAAGGTCTTTCCTGTTTTAGAATGGATTTTATTAGCAAGCCCAGCAGAAAGCAGTAAACAAAAGTGCACTAAAACTGATCTTCCAGACACCCACTTCACCATATTTTTTGTGGCAGGATGTTGTCACCTTCAGTGTCACTAGGGTCTCCACCTCCAGGAGATGCCATCTCTCCTTGTGACAGCTGGCTTTGTCTTTGTAAAGAGAGTTCCCTTACCTAATGAGGATTACTTCCTTCATGTAACTTTAATAAGGTGCAGGGGTGTGTCTCCAGAGACATAGTGACAGAAATCTTCCCTAACATAAATTGATCATTACCCTCTTGCGCTAAAGAAAGCTTCTCTATTTCCTTGAGTCCTTTGTTCTTTTTAGTTCAAGCTAGTATAGTAATTTTGTTTTTTGGAAATCTTAATGCTTGTTTACCTTCCTGAAGCCAGTCAATATTGAGGATTCCTGTTCAGAGGTCATGGCCTCAAACTTGCAGCAAATGCACAGTAAAAGCTGGATGTCAAGAATGTGGGTGAAGAGGTATTTCAATCATGAAAAATGTCTGTTTATTTTGAAAACCAGGAAAATATTTCCTCAGAAATATGCTTGTGTTAACATTTTCACTGGTTCCAGAATTTCCCTTTTTTCTTTTTTTTTTTTTTTGGTGGCATAGTGCCTACAGCACTTGACTGCTAACCAGAAGGCTGGCAGTTCAAACCCACCAGCGACTCCTCAGAAGGAAGTTTGGGGCAATCTACTTCCATAGTGAATACCAACTCAGAAACCTAATGAGGGGTCGCTATGAGTCAAATCTGACTTGAAGGCAGTAAATTTGGTTTTTGGTTTACTGATATAATTTGTTATGGAGTCCCTGGATAATGCAAATGGTTAATGTGCTTGGTTACCAAGTGAAAGGTTGGAGGTTCAAGTCGACCCAGAAGTGCATCAGAAGAAAGGCCTGGCAATTTACATCTAAGAAACCACCTATTTAAAAAAAAAACCAAAAAACTATGGAGCACAGTTCTAGTCTGAAACACATGGAATTGCCTTAAATCAGCACCAACTCATTGGCAACTGGTTGTTTTTCATTTCTTTATTTTTAAATAATGTTATGAAGCAATTTTCCTGTGTATCATGAACTCTCCAATTTAGCGATTACAAGTTACTTGTATGATGTGCAGTTAACATTTCAGACAGCTTTTAGCCATGAAGCTACCTTTTGAGATTATCAGTACTCTTCACAAACTCTAACTACTCTAGCAAAACTTTCTCAACTCTCTTTAAGCAATATCTCCTTTTCCATATGGTAATATACTACTGCAGAAAAACCAAAGACTATGACTAAAACTAATACTATATATAGAGAGAGTGACCTTAAAAGATGTCATTTAGCCTCTAGATCTTAGTTTTCCCATTTTACAGATAGGAAAATAAAAATGTATCCCTCCCTAGATTAGAGCTTTTTTGGAGCCAAGAGAACAAATGTAACTGAGAATACTTTTCTTATAAATTCATTCAAACATTTATTGACTAGCATAATTACTGACATGCTTAAACTGCAAATTTATTCTTCATGGATATGTATTAACTCAACCCTCAACAAAAGCTCAACTGAAAGCATTTTTACTAAGAACTGACCTAAAATACCCCTGGTGAGACTGAAAAAAGAATAAATCTTAGAATATCTCATTTATAGTTTTAGACTTCTCTTCTGAATTTTTGGTAAAATAGGTAAGAGTTAATCTATTCAAGATGGAACCCTTAGGTGAAAGTCTGTAGTGCAGAAATCCCATCTTAACTGATCTAAGTGGGATTCATACACTTTTGACAGGAGACTTGCAGGTGATGATGATATTGACAACCTAGAGTGAAAATTTCAAAACTCTAACTCTCAGATACACTACTTCACATCTTCAGTGAGATGCTCAGTTTTTTTCTTTTTCTCTCCAAAATTTTAGATCTGTGTAAAAGCTTGGAGTCCCTTGAAATCCATGCCAGCTGCAAAGCAGAAAGAGTTTAGCCTGGCAATTTCAGGGGTGGTTACCAGTCTGTTGTCTGAATTATGGAGAAACTTCCTTCTGGCCTTTTTTAAATGCCTAATATTTAGGAGTCCTATCTTCTAGTGGGTTTTCCAAGAAAAATTTCAGAACACAAACCCAGAAAGTGGAATGCAGTAAGTTGCTGGATAATTATGAGCATGTATTTAAATGTTGAAGATAGTCTGCTTACAACAGCTGTCTTGATTTTGACATCATTATTAAAGTTGAATTGCTTTTATTTTTCCCCCTTCATGTTATTTAGCCAATGAGTTCAGCTGCTTTTATGGGAGTTTTGTGGTTCATGACAATACAACCAAATCATTGGTAAACTCTTTAATAAAATACAGAATAGTATAACAATAAAAGTAGAAATATTGAATATTTTGTTAGTGTTATGAATCTCACCAAAGACTAGAAAATACGTGTGTCCTGCTTTCTGAAATACAAGTTTTACTCACTTTGGGGAACAGATGCACTCCAGAAAAGCTAGATGTGAGTCAAATTCAATGTTCTGGTGGCCATCTATGATTAAAAAAAGTGATGCACTTGTTAGGAAAATAAATACTCCAGTTGATTTTCTTATTAGCTCTAAGTGCAAAGTGGACAAAATTCCTCCATGGTTCTTAAGTGTTTCGGGGCCATGGCCCCAGAGGTGAATCTACAGAAGATAGCACCTATGGCAAGTGCTGAAATTGTGCTCCTGTCCAAACATCTGACACCCACCTTTTAGATAACTTTTCCATAATATCAGCTCAAAAATACAAACAAGCTTGCTAATCCTTTACTTAACACATTATGACACTACATGCAATTTACAACTGTACCTTCCTTGCTTTCACAGATGAAAATTGGTCTATGATGTGCTCAGAGTCAATTTTTTATTTTCCCCCATTTCTTCTCATTCTATAGTCAGCAAAGCAGTTTTGGACCTTCTGGTCTAGAGGCAATGCCAGAGCCCATGATGTTGGAGTCTTAAGCCCAAACTGCTTCCCTGGGAAGCCCATCACCCAGCCCACCAAGTAGTCACTCTGGCCACAGAAAGGGCAGAATGTTTCGGAATCAGACTTAATGGGGTGCAGCAGAGCACAGAGAGGAGGGGGAATGGCCAGGTGGGCTCTCCAAAGGGGAGAACAGGAAAACTGAGGGGAGCCTCTAAAGGGGTGGGGAGTAGGAAGTGAAACACAGTCAGGTGTTTCCTTGGGGCTGCTTTTCCAAATCTCTTTGGCTCGTTGGCGATAATCACACTAAAAATTAATGCCCACACACAGACCCAGCCTAGATAGCAAGAAATAATTTTCTCTGCTCGCCTGACTACCAGCTCCCACCCTTTCACTCCTGGATAACTTTGGAGATAAGGCTGCCCACGCTCAGGTAAGTGCTTCAAGGAGAGGAAAAGATCACACAATCTGCCTTGACCCCTGGGGGCTCTCAAATATTAGTATTAGTTTTAACTTGCTGAATGATCTCTCATAGCTGGTGATGGAAACTGCCATGGTTAATATAAACTACTCAGTGTTACCCACCCTTCAAGTGGTGCCCAGGGCACGTGCCATAGCTTAGATACACCTCTGCAAGTCCCCTTTGAGAATCTCATGAAAGCTAAATGTCTCGTTAGATAATTGAACACAGCACAATTGGTTTATAATTCTGTGGGATTCTGGGTTCCCTGATTGGCTCCAGGACTCTCAAGTGTCCCACAGTGCTTATTTGCACTTATGGACTTGGCAGGTCTTTTTCTTTCCAACTTTTTACAGCTTTCCATTTTTCTGTGAACTCTCTCCCTGGCAAACATGGTGTAAGATCTCACCATCTTCACCATCAATGAAGGCCAGTGTGTCCCTGGAATGATAGCATGTATAGATCTCAACCAGAGAATGACCAACGTAAGAGCCACCATATGCTAGTTGTCTATTTTGAGTGGGTACTGTACTGAGTACTTTACATGTGGTACTCACCACTCCACATTGTTTGGAGGTGTCTGGGAAGATTTCTGTGTAACACCATTCATCCCATCGATTTCAGGGAAGCAAAAGATATCATCATTGAAGAAAGACAAGGATTGAGAGCCCCACATCTCTGATTTTGTTCAAGAACCCCAGAATCACTGATTAGAACCCCAGACTACTTATGTCCCCCTAGTATCCCTTGAAGGAGCTCTGGTGGCATAGTAGATAAAGCATTTGGCTACTAACCAGCAGTTCAAACCCACCAGCCGCTCCACGGAAGGCAGATAGGGCAATATATTTCCATAAAGATTTACCACCTCTGAAACCTAATGGGGGTTGCTATGAATTGGAATTGACTCGATGGTAGTGAGTTTGTTTTTTTGGTTTAGTATGCCTTACTCATCTCTGGTGGAAATGGTTAAGTGCTGCTACTAACTAAAAGGTCGGCTGTTTGAATTCACCCATAGACACCCCAGAAGAAAATCCTGGCAGTCTACTGCTGAGAGGTCACGGCCTTTGAAAACCCTGTGAAGTGCACTTCTACTCTAACACACAAGGTCACCATGAGTCAGAACTGACTAGATGACAACTTCTTTTTTTTTTCCTTTTAGTACCCTTCCAAAAAAAGATGGCTTTAGATTAGGATGTGTGTCCATCTATCACTTGGGTTTGGTTGGAATTATTGGAGCAGGCTTTCAGACAGACCTAACTCACAGACTAATTTCACTTCCCTGACTCACTGCTCTGAAATCTCCTGGCTACAATCATTCCCTTTAACTGTTGCCTTTTACTTTGCTTCATCCACACAGGTAACAATGTTGACTCAGGAGGTCTCTCAGTTAGGTAAAGACATGAGGAATGTGATACAACTTCTGGAAAATGTGCTGTCGCCCCAGCAGCCATCACAGTTTTGCTCTCTGCACCCAGTCTCCGTGTGTCCCTCCAGGGAGAGCTTACAGACCAGGATGACCTGGAGTACGCACCAACCTTGCCTGCATTTGCAAGCAGGTGGAGCTGCTCGTACCCAAGCACAACTTTGTCATGGTAACATCACCTCAGACATTTGGAGTGTGGATCCCTCCTCTGTGGGAAGCAGCCCTCAGAGAACTGTAGCTCATGAGAAAAATCCTACAGACAGTGAACTTTATCATTCTCCAAACCTGGATTATTCACCTTCCCACTACCAGGTTGTCCAAGAAGGTCATTTGCAACTTTTAAGGTGCATCTCTCCACATTCTGACACCACACTGACGCCTCTGCAGTCCATCTCGGCGACACTCTCATCTTCTGTGTGCTCCTCCTCAGAAACATCTTTGCATCTGGTTCTCCCAAGCAGATCAGAGGAGGGCAGCTTCAGCCAAGCAGCAGTTAGTTCCTTCAGTCTGGAAAACCTGCCAGGATCTTGGGACCGAGAAAGAATGGCCTCAATCACTACCAAACCCTTGGAAAATTTTCCACTAGAAGTTGTCACAAGCACAGCAGACGCAAAAGATAAAGCCATAAACGTATGATATTAGTGCATGTGACACAGCTGCCAATTTCAAACCCACCACTGCATGACAGCTTTCGTTTGCCTTTTTTGCCTCTGGCACGTATGAGGACTGGGCACCAATGGTAATTCTGGAGAAGAGAGTGTGAGGAGCCAGGGAAAGGCAAAACCACCTCCATACTGTAGCAAACAATTTCTAGATCCTAGGAAGCATAATAGAAACATTTTTTTCTATACAGGTATTAACTTACTGGTCTGTTTGACAGACTTTGGTAAACTTCCAAAGACCCTGAGGGTCTAAGCAGCTAGAAGTCCCAGACAAAGAATTTGTGGATTAGTTATGTCCTAGGTGGCTTTTGTGAAGTGCAGCAAAGGTTTTTCCCGAGTGCCTGTCTGTCATCCCTGAACAATAGCCATAGCACTGTTGGCCTCGGGAGTGCACATCTCCTGCTGATCTGTTTTTCTTTTTGTGAAGGCAAAGGGACAATTATCACTGCATGTCATCTCCTAGACAATCAGTCCAATAGAGCTGGTGGCCAGTGGTTAGCTATTGCACGTCATTTGCCATGTAAATGAAAAGTCTTTATTTATCAGAAAAAAAAAAAAAGGCTATTTTTATATCCTTGGTATGAAATATGTATTTAAACTATTTAAAATATTTATAAAGAAATGAATGTTCTCTTTTCATTTTGGTAAAAAAAAAAAAAAGCTTGCTGTTTTAACAAGAAATGCACTACTGTTATGTATAGTAGATAAAAAAAATATTATTAAGGGGATGTAGTTTCAAAAGGTATCTCCCTTTTATCTGCATGCAGTTTGCAAAAATGTATCCTCACCCTTCTGAATTACAAAGAGAAAGTGAGGTCATATTTTATTACTGAAATAAAAACATGGACTGAGTGTCACCTACATGAGTTTTGGAATGATAGTAGGAGGACTCCATCAAGTCCCTGCTGACTCTGTCAATGACCTGATGAAGGAAGGCTGTCCCCACTGTTCCAGCATATATGTTTCTCTTCCAGGCATCATATTGTGTTGTCAAGGAACCCAAAATTGACCTGTGAAATTTGAAGTCACAATTACTTTGAGCCATTTTTGGCTAAAATGAGGTAGAGAAATCTTAGGTGTATCCTTTACTATGCTATTCTTTTAGAAGAATTCTGAAATGGAGCAAAGAATTCTAAGCTATGACTCATGAGAATGATGCCAGCTTGCACTTGGTCAGCACTTTATATACATAGCTACGTACATACATATATTAGACATCTCTGGGAGGTACTAATGGTTAAATGCTCAACTGCTAACTGAAAGGTCAGTTTTGAGCCCTCTCAGAGGCACTTTGGAATAAAAGTCTCGAAAACTACTTCTAAAAAAGCAGCTGTTGAGAACCTTATGGAACACAGCTCTACTGTGACACACGTAAGGTTACCATGAATCAGAACTGGTATGACTTGATGGTGACATACATACATAGGAAAGCTCTCAACAGCCCTATATAAGTTATTCAGGGCAGAGGTTTTCATTCCCATTTTGCAAAAGGAACAACCAAAGTGCCAGACTTTATACAGCTAACCTATAATGCTCCCTACGTCTCATAGCAACATGCAAACTCAGATGATGGGCTTAATAATTATTTAAACACTTTTACGTGCTTTTTAATGAGTTTTGGTGGCACAATGGTAATCAAGAGGCTGATAGTTGGAACCCACCCAGTGGCTCTGTAGGAGAAAGATCTGGTGATCTACTTCTGTAAAGTTTACAGCCAGGAAAACCCTCTGGGGCAGTTCCACTCCGTCACATAGGGTCTCCATGAGTGGAAATCAACTCAACGGCACCCAACAACAACAAATTAAGTTTCATTTTATGTTTAAGAAAATTCCAGACCTAATCATCCCAGACATTCCTAGAAGGCACATTGAATTCACACTCTCGAATCTTCCTGTTCTTATTTCCCACCACAAAGAGTAAATGATCTGAGAATTTTGGCATTAAAAACCACTATACAAATGATGACTTCTGCTACCATGTGACTATTGCACCCTAAAATTTACTGAAGCAACTGAGGGAAGAGAAATCTTCCATAAGAAAAAAGTGGTACATATTCATGTGGCAGGTCACCCAAGACTCAATGTCTTCTATTCCCCACCTCCAAAATCCAGTCTCTTCCTAAATTCATGGGAAAAGTGAAGCAGAAGCAACATTCTAGATTTCATCTACATGCTAATATTCCCTCTTTTGCTCATCCTGACCTATGTAATCATTTTAAGTACTATCCAAAAAGAACTTTTTAGTGTTGGCCCATGAATGCCCTCCTGGCAAATGAGCACTACTATTACTGATGCAAACAGTAGTAATTTAAATTCGGTTACATTTGAGTACTGTGTGTCAACAGAGATCTAGAAATTAACACACATTATGTTTCCTCATAGGATCAAATTCTAAAAGTTAGCTGTTATTATCTCCATTTTGTAAATGAATAATTGCAACACAGATTTGGCTGCCCAGCCAGCCACACTGTTTGTCAGTCACAGACTGAGCATTCTCATGGCCATAACCTTTCCTCCATATCCACATCCATTCTTGTTGTCTTTTGAAACGTTGTAGCAATTAATTCTTTTCAAAATGTGTGTGTGAGATAAAATAATTGTTTTCCAAAGTAAGCATGCAAATGGGGGGACTTTAAGCTCTGAGGATCTGGGAAGTCCCAGTGAAAAACCCAGAAACGTGCCCATCTGTTTCCTCCCAATACCATCTCTGTACCTATTGCTCACAGCCAACATTAGTAGGCATAAGAGCTGTCTCCTTGCCCTAGTGGATCTAGTGCTATAGGGGAATAAGGGAGCACCCAGACATTGATTTCTGACTGGAGCATCACCTCCCTCCTCTAAAGCAGCCCCACCTTATTCCTGATTAATTAACCCTTTCCCTTTTCATCATTACTCTGACAAGCAGAATTCTGCCACTTCTAGGACAACTCAAATGATAAGTTTTTATTGTTTTGTTTATGTGTGTTGTGAGGTTAATCTAGAAAATGAAAATCCCAAGTTTTCCTGGGTTTCCTAAATTGTTTGATTTGCTAAATTTTGCTACTATGCGAATAGCAGAGGTTCTTGAGTTCTCATTAGGGGAACAGTTTGGGATCCTTCCATTTTCCTCACTCCATGCCACCCCGCCCCTGCCCCCCCTCCCCACACACACACATTGTGAGAGCAAGGCAGGGATCCAGAGGGAATAAAGCATTTATTTTCTTGGTCAATCATATTTTCTTAAAAATAGTATCAGGGACTAACTTTTTTATATGGTTCTAATTAAACCAGAAAGACAAATTATGTAGATTTTATTTTAATTCAAGTTAGGAAAGTTCTAGCAATTAAAGTTACTTACAAGTGGAGATTATTGCCTGGGAAGTAGTAATATCACTAACAGAGGGCATGTTCCTTCAGAGGGTGCCTGACCATTCTCCAGGAATATTGATTTCCTGAGGCATTCCACATTGGGTGCAAGGCTGGAAAAATGCCTACCTTGGAATCACACCATGTGCTTGTTTAAAGTGCAGAAAACCTGACTTGAACCCAGTCCCTTTACATGGGGCTTGGGCTTCTATCATTTAATAAATTCCTTACATGATTTATATGCCCTAAAGGTTAAGGAAAAAAATGATCTAAAATCAATACAAGTGAAAATTTGAGCCTTAGTTAATTTATACAGAAGTGGATTAGCATCTAAATTTGAGTAGAGACAACCCTGAGTCTATAATTACATAACAAAGAAGCCAGGTTAACCCCTAAGGAGCCCTGGTGCCATAGTGATTAAGTGCTAGGGTTAACCAAAAGGTCAGCAGATCAAACATACCAGCCACTCCATGGGAGAAAGATGAGGCAGTCTGCTTCCATAAAGATTATAGTTTTGGAAACCCTACGGGACAGCTTTGCTGTCTCCTGTATTGTCGTTAAGAGTTGGAATGGCCTCCATGGCAATAAGTTGTTTCTTTCTTTCTTTCCTTTTTTTTTTTTTTTCATGCTTATCCTGCTTATTGGGAAATCTGCCTTTGCATTGGAGACATTGGTTTTTACTACAGACTTTTCCCTAGATCACCATCACTAAAAATAGAGCCTTGATACTCACATAGCCTCTGTTAAAGGCTGGTGCACAAGACTACTTACTCTTTGCCTACTTCTTTCAAGTTATCCAAAGGCAAATGTTGCAAATAAATATGCTGCTGAGAAAGGAGCAGGAGTTCTTGAGAGACACAAACAAGTGTTTGCTTCTCAAACATTTGTCCTGGTTCTGTGACCTTTAACACTTCCGAGTCTCAATTTGAAAATTAAAGATATCTATCTACCTTGCAGGGTTTTTGTGAAGATTTAATGGAGTAATGTGAAACGAGAGTACTTCCCACATTGCCTAAAACAATAATGAATGCTAAGCAAATGTCAATTCCTCTTCCTTGACCTTCTACCATCACTCTTTCTCCTCTCCTTCCCCTCCTCCTCTCATCTCCCTCTCTTCCTCCTGTCTTCATCCCACTAGCCTATTTGTAGTCCAGCCTCCTTTCCCCAAACCCTCTCTGCTCCTCTTCCTTTCCCCTCCTCTTTCCCAACTTCCTCCCTGGCTCTCACTTTCTCTTCTTCTTTCACTTTTCTTTCCTCTTTCTCTCTCCTTCTGCCTATCTCCTCTAGCTGCCTCCTCATTCTTCCCCATTCTCCTCTAAATGCCCAGGCCAACCTCTTGAGCCACTCTTTAACATCTTCACATTCTAGTTTTCACATCAGGTCCCCTAAAATTTGTTCATCACAGTGTTAACAATAAAATCAATTGTTATGGTGTTAAAAACACTTGTTGAAGAGGCACTGGTGTGGAAAAATGTGCTCTCTCTGCTCTCTGCCATCTAGCCGCAACCCGTGGGGTTTCTGATACATTTATTAGATTTTAGTAATTAAAGCCTTAATTTAAATGCTTTACAAATACATGTAGGTCCAGTATATTGATTGACATGAATATATTCCACACACACATCAACTTGTTTCCATAAAATTTCTCTATGGAAATTTACCATTCCTTGAAACATCACACACAGCATAGATGCCAAACCTTGCAACACAGGCCACAGAAGACCTGAGCATTGTCAGCCAGCAACCTCAGACCCTTCCCTGTACCAAGTGGTTTCCCCCACACACATACACACAAACACACACAATACCTCTGGCTGGAAACAGAAATGATAATATGGCCGTTACTTCACACAGATGCCTTCAAAGCCCCACCTTGGTCCCCCATCGGGTTAGTAGGCCCCATCAGAGGGAATAAGTTAAATGTCACTCCCTGAAGCTGTGTCCTGAAAGATCCTTTTCTCAGGTTGCGTCATTCAAGCACCCTGCATAAAGAGCTCGCAGAAGACAAGAGGATAGTAGTCCTGTGAGGCAGAGATGGCACTTCGGCACCTGCTGTTCCAGACTAAATAAACTACCCATTTTAGAAAAATCACTGGGTGGCCAAAAGATGTCCTATGGACAAAACTATGTCTTCTCAGATGATTTCTTTCTGGCTTAGGTTTTCTTACTTATGAAGATAAGAAGTTGTGGATGGGATGGAATCTACTGTTGATACTAAGCCTGTTTTTTGTTTCTTTAAATAGTTGGCTTGATAAAAACAGAGAACATACATGTGATATATATGAGCACAACAGAGAATAAAATGGAAGGAAGTGAGACTTAAAAGTGTGCCCGTGCTATTTATTTTCCTAAGAAATCAATATACTAACTTGAAGGAACTACTCTCTTTTAAAAATTCCCTGTAAGGAAAGAGGACTTTATCCCTTTGGCACTCTGACTTCCAACGATGAATTTTCTACCCATGTGATGGCCTTGAACTACACTTGGCAGCTTCATTCTTCACTGTGCTTTATTTGCTCTGAGAGAGAACTATTTCTGAACTCAGCACTGGGGTCAAGTGTTAACTGCTACCAAAGAAGGGGCCCAAATTCAGCTGCCCCTCCCAGAGAACGGAGTCCTCTGAATGGCTGCACCTCTGAGGATCTCTGGGGCCCACTGCGGTGATTGGCAATGAAGACCAGCAGCCCCCAGGTTGAAACACAGATTTTTGAAAGTTGCCATGGTAACCCATTGCCCAAAATGATTCATGAGAGCCTCATCCTCTAATCAGATGATCTCTGGATGGGAATCAAATTGTCAGCTCTGGCTGTAAGTACTCATATGATAGTTGAGCTCTACAC